GTGCTTCTGGGCAAAAGGGCTGAACTTGGCCTCTCTATTTTCCCATGTCCTAGAAGATTCACCACCCTCCTTATGGAAGGCTATTTGCATATTTGATCTTCTATCCACCCTTGGTGGGGGGGACTATCTTGTTAGAGCTTTATGACTTCATTCTGCTAAATGCCTAAACCAGTCCCTTTTGGTGCTGCTGAGATAACAATAACGATGCACAGGCACAAGCAACTCTGGCCAAGACAAGATAGCTTGTATGAAGGGGCATCCATGTGGTAAGGGGGAAGCGTGGCTGTGCTACTAGCCCCCACCTCCATTGTTACAAGCATCACCAGCCCTGCTGACATCTCCACATGGTGCTTTCTCTCTTTAGACCTTTTTGAATGTTGTTGGCATCTGTCTGTCTCAAGAGATGATGCAGTGTGCTTCCAGAGGTGAAGTCAAACCCACTGTGTTGGCAGCAGCAAAATGACCTCCCTGAGATGCAAGCCTGGGCAGTGTGTATGGACGAAAAGACCCAGCCCCTCTTGGTCCAAAGGAAAGCAGAGCAGCAGAGGATTAGGATCAGAGTTTTCCTTCTCCCAGATGGGCTACCTTCCCAGGATGAGGAGCCCTAGCTGCCCCTCACTTCCCTAATAGCACGTGCAGAAACTGTCTTCTTGGCTGTTGGACCCACTACTGGTCTCGTCCACTCAATCTGCCAGAGTCTCTCTTAACATGCAGGGGAAAGTCACAAAATCACCAAGGGTTTGAGACCTTGTTATTCCTACATTTTCTGAGGTATAGAAGGAACCACACCAAGAGAGGGAAAGGGGAGTTTCTATTACAGGCCAGCTATGCCTCCTAAAGAGACAGGCCACACACGTTGCCGGCTATGGCGGGGGGGGGCAGGGGGAGAGAGAGGCCTGCTCCCCTGAAGCAAACAGGAGAAACTGTCCACTGCAGACCTCAAGGGCTCTGAAGCAGAGTACAGTGGTACCTCTGGTTCCAAACGGGATCCATTCTGGAGGCCCGTTAACAACCTGAAAAGAACGCAACCCGCATCTGCTCACGCATGGGTCACGATTTGCCACTTCTGCACATGCGCATGACGTCATTTTGCGCATCTGCACATGCGTGAGTGGCGAAACCTGGAAGTAACCCTTTCCGGTACTTCTGGGTTGCCGCAGGACGCAACCTGAAGCAAACGTAATGAGGTATGACTGGACCCCTCTGGACCTCAGTGCTATTTTCCCATAAAAAGAGATGCCAGAACTCACCATGAACACCTCCCTTGTTCTCTTAGAATGGCAATGGGGCCCACCTGAGAAGTGCCAGAACTGAGTTCTGGTGAGTTCTGGGGGTTTTTTGGTTTTCTTTTTGTTTTTTTTTAAGCCCTGCATCTACTATTTGTCTCATGGAAAATCATGAACACTTTATGGCAATTAATTCCTGTTGCTAAATGAAGATCACACACAAATATGCACCTGTGTCACAATAACATGAGCCACTCAAGACCCAAAGCCATTTTCTACCTATTATGGCAGGAGTGATATAAAAATTGCCTGTCCTAAAACACTAGCAGGAATTTGCTCTGGGCTTATTTGAAAACAAACCTAGATTGGCACCTGAGCAGGTAGCATAAATTTAGTTCCTAAAATCATCAAGAAACGTCAAGTATAAAAATGTAGCTGGTTGGACATGAAAATGTATTGATGTTGTATGGCATGGGGCCAAGTCTTTTGTACCTTTTCCTTGTCAGCAAGTGCCTTCATTTCATTACAGGAAATGTGCTTTTGGAGCACCTTCCTTTATCAGATTTCACTTATAAAGACACCAAGGTTTAAATTCTCTCCATGGTTCCATGCTGAATTTTACAGAGCAGGGAGAATTATGGGCCAGGCATTGCTTTAAAGTCAGTAGGTTGGCTTTCATATTGGGCAGCTTCTGCTCAAAAGCTTCTTTGTGAATCATAAATCAAATGAAGAGCATAATAAAATCACACTTTCTTTAAAAGTAGCTGTACAATGCATTTGGCTTTAGGAAGAGGAGGAAAAATCCCCCTCTCCCTCTGCGAAAATGGCTGAAATAAAATACAAATGGTTGATATTTATCCTAAAGTGCCCAGCGCCCGTTTTATATGCTGTTATTTCTCTCTTTTACAAATGTGTTCACTGTAATGTCCTCATGAGACTGGCATCCTGTTTTTCCAGTAGCTCTCGGTGCTGAAGGAACGCAAAACAGAAGCCCCTGGTTTTAAAATAGGGACACAAATTAAGGCTTGCTGAAGAATGGGGACATTGAATGACAGCAGTGGCTCAGCTGTGGTGTTTGAAAAAGTGCTAGAAGAGGAAGGTCAAAGATACAATAAAGTGTGTGTGTGTGTGTGTGTGTGTGTGTGTGTGTGTGTGTGTGCTTCCAAACGGGCACTATTTGGGGTGAGATTTAGTCACGTACCAGCAAATTCGGGGACGCGGGTGGTGCTGCGGGTAAAACCTCAGCGCCTAGGACTTGCCGATCGTATGGTCAGCAGTTCGAATCCCCACAGCGGGATGAGCTCCGTCGTTCGGTCCCAGCTCCTGCCCACCTAGCAGTTCGAAAGCACTCCTAAGTGCAAGTAGATAAATAGGGAGCACTCCGGCGGGAAGGTAAACGGCGTTTCCGTGTGCTGTGCTGGTGCTGGCTCGCCAGATGCAGCTTCGTCACGCTGGCCACCTGACCCGGAAGTGTCTCCGGACAGCGCTGGCCCCAGGCCTCTTAAGCGAGATGGGCGCGCAACCCCAGAGTCAGTCATGACTGGCCCGTACGGGCAGGGGTACCTTTACCTTTACCAGCAAATTCAGGTTGTACTGAATTAAAGTCGATTTGGACTGCTTGTGCAACATGCCTGATTTCCCCAAAATCAGACTTCTCACAATAAGGAATGGGGGAAATGCACTGGAAAGTGTGCAACAGCACTTGGTTGAATGCCATGCAACATCTCCACACATAGATCAGAATGAATTCTTAATAAATAGCTGACTTCATCTAACCTCCCCACAAACTTTGTGCAAAGCAAATCAGGATCCATGGTCAGTGAAGAAGCCAACTTGAAGCAAGCAGATTCTGTGCATCTGTGAACATTTATACTCATTGTGTTCATCACGGATTACACACACAGCAGATACTCATGAGCTAACTAACATGTCAGGATAGAATACCCTAAAATAAAAAGAAATCTACACGTCTGGGGGAGGGGGGAGAGTGCGCAATAGAATGTGTTTAGCACCACAGGATGAGAAGTCTGGGACTGAATTCTTCCCCACCAGCACCATCAAATGTACCTCTGTGGGATGCGAATTCCACAACTTAAGGATTGCCATGGAGAATGCCCTCTCCCAGGTGACCACCACCCAAACTTCTGAGGGCAGAGTGAGCACCTTTAATTAAGTCTGAAAGTGAACCAGTGGCCAATGAAGCTGCTTTACAACAGGGGTTATGCAAGTTCTGAAGGCAATCCCAGCTATTAATTTTGGACGTTTTGAAGCTTCTGTGTCGTCTTCAAGGGCAGGTGATAGGCACAATGAAGTGGCTTCACCCATATTTGCTTGGGTTTGGACCAATATTTACACCAGCTGTACCCTAGCCACCTATGCTCCTGTTTCATCGCACACCGGTCAGTAGAGTACCAAGGCGAACTTTGTGCTCCACAGCAATGGAGAAGGGGGCACTCAGGAGTGATTGCATCACCAGATCTATGCATCTTGCCTTTTCATAAGGCGATGGCAGCCTCAACAGGAGCCCCCAGCCATGTCTGCCGGCTATGAGTGTCTAAGTACGGAGGCGGCGTGAAAGGTGGAAAAAGTGGCTGTAAGTATCTGTCTTCCCTCATGTGTACAAAGTGCCCCTGAGACTCTTTTTGGTGAAGTTGGAAATGCTATTATTAGAGAACTGGAGCACTCGAAGTGCAATACGAAGTGCCAGATGGCACCGCGAAGTGAGCGGTGTGCGATTTACAGTAAACAAATTAGTTATCTTTGATGGGTCATGGGGAGAACAGAAATGGGCTCCGGCTCAGTCAGGGAGTACTCTGGAAAATGTCAAAGAAAGCAAAATAAATAAATAAATGAGCAAACGGTAGAATCTTCCCCCATTTAAAAGATGTTGAAAAATGCAGCTAGAGCAACTTAAGTGAAAGCTGTGTGACTTGTGGAGTTTTGCAGCTGGTTGTTCAAGAGCTGTTTGCTGGAAATTCTTCCCCAAATGTGGGAAGTTTCTACCAAAATGGAGAGACTGCCAGTGCTGGTGGATCTCTTGCAAGCAAAGCATGGTTTTGTTTTGTTTTTAATGGCACAATTTTTTTGAAGGTAGGATAGTAGTCCGGGATCCACCCCTACATGGTTAGGCTGCCAATGCCTATATGTTCACTAGATTCAGAATACATGACAAAATATTACACACTGATTTGCAACCTCCCACAATTGCCAGATTAAAATGTATCCAGTACCCATTTGTTTCGCTTTAAGAAAAAAGTTCAAACTCTGCACTGTGGGATAGGAAGCAAACACTCCTGATTTAACCACAATGAAGCAGGGTGAAACTACATAAACTTACACCATAAACAGTCTCCTATACAAAATTACAGAGAAGCCCACCTAATTTAATCAAGGCTAAGAGATTTATTCCTGGATAATTATCCATAGTACCTTGAAAGTGCCAACACACATAAAGAGGTCCATTATTGCATGGGTGGAAATGTATAGCCCTCTCCACCCAAGCTGTAACATGAATCAGCTGATATTGCTGCATGCCACACAGGTAGTATCACAAAATGAAGACTTATGGTAGGGATGAGCAATGTGGATACTTCTGATTTCAGCAATGATACACTCTCAGGGAGAATCTACCTATGTTGTCCTTGCTCATAGAAGTTACACCTCCCATCTGGGATACATGGGGGTCTGGCTCCATGCTGTAACCACAATGTCTAATATGCCAATCAGGTTTGAATCATGTCTGGAAAAGTAGTGATCACCTGTGATTCCCCTACCTGGAGATGCCAGGGCTTGAACCTGGGTCCTTCTACATGCAGAGCAAATGCTGTACACTAAGCTAAGGCCTTTTCAGGTAATAGATGCCCCCCACCTCCAATCTCAGACAGGTCAAGTGCTGAGGATGCCCTTGTGGGTTCAGGAGCACCACACACGCATGCACACCCCCAAAGCTGGAGGTGGGTTGTCAACAAAATTGTTCTTTCCTTGCATGAGACCGGATTCAGTGGGGTTCAATTTTTGTACCCCTATTTCTACTTCTAAATCCAGGTGAATGCATTTAACCGAGGTTCAAGAGTGTAGCTCATGAAACAGATTCTGTGAGTTCCATTCCCTCTTTACAACCACTGCTTCTAAAAGAAAAATACATTTCTGAATAGACTGTTATCTGAAGTTATCAGACTAATGTATTAGCTTTATTTATAATTGCTGTTCTGTTCCCCAAGGTGCAAGCTACCAAGAGAACCATTAGAGTCACTGATTTATTTATTTTTTTACTTTTGTAGTAGGAACAGCTTTGTAAAAATTACTTCTTAAAAAGAGCAAGCTTAAAGTCTTTTCATTTAATCCACCTAAGTAAAAAAGAAAAGCTGAACTAGGCAGAATAAACATGATTTCTCTGATGTGTCTGGTAAAAGGATTCTCCCGGGTAGAAGCTCCAACTTCTATTTATTTCACTTTATCAGCTCTCCATGCTGCAGAGACCTTGAAGAAATGTTGGGTCCCAGGGAGTTGTCACTCACTGACTCCTATAATCAGCTTCTAACCCATTCTCAGGATCTTGCTTGCTCAGATAGAGAGTGATAAGTCTACAGAAGCCTGTCCGATAGAAAGTTCACTTCCTGATGTTAGACCACAAACAATTGCCCTATATAACACCCTAACAGATAAATCCTACAGGTGGGTCACAGAGGGAACTGAAGGCAAAGGAGCCAAAATATCCACAACCCTACAAGGTACATGGGCAGGGCAGAAGGGAGGGTCTGCTTTCTTTCTTTCTTTCTTTCTTTCTTTCTTTCTTTCTTTCTTTCTTTCTTTCTTTCTTTCTCTTTACAAGGCTGGCTGCACTGCTGGGGAATGGGCAGGCTTTGGAACCAAGCATTTCCTGGATCTGTCCTCTTTTTGCCATTACTAGTGTCAAAGCTCTACCATTTGCCCTTCTTCATGTGCCTCCTCCTCAAGAGGTCCGGAGGGGTGGCAACACAAGAACAGGCCTTCTCTGCAGTGACTTCCCATTTGTGGAATGCTCTCCCCAGGGAAGTTTGCCTGGTGCCTTCATTATACACCTGTAGGTGCCAGACAAAAACGTTCCTTTTTAACCAGACCTTTGGTTGATTTGATTGACATCCTATGCCCTTTTAAAATAAGGGGTTTGGGGTTTTTTGGGTGGCGGTTATTGGGTAGTTGTTGGTTTATTTATTTATTATTATTATTATTATTATGCATTTTGTGGTTTTATATTTTGATTGTATTCTGTGAACCGCCCTTAGACCTGTGGGTATAGGGCGGTGGTATATTAATATAATAATAATAATAATAATAATAATAATAATAATAATAATAATTTGCAAGGTTTCTACTGCAGCTGGGAGAGACCACATGAAGTTACATTTCTTTTGTGTTTCTCTGCCCTTGGAGAAGGAGAACCAAAGGACCTTGTGGTCTCTGGGACTCCTTTCCACAGACTATAGGACTTATAAAGACATTTTAACCAACAATGGGCCAACTACTTTGGTTCAGCTTTAAGAACATAAGAAGAGCTTGCTGGATTAGGCCAATGGCTCATTTAGTCCAGCATCTTGTTCTCACAGTGGCTAAGCAGATGCTTGTGGGAACACACGAGAACTCTCCTTTCCTGTGGCTTCCAGCAACTGGTATTCAGAAACCTTACTACCCAGGCAGAGCATAGCAATCAGGGGCCAGTAAACGTTGATAAATTTTACACTTCTGCTCTTGGAGAGTAACCTTGTAAAATGGGGTAACAGCTAACAAACAATGTGGCTGGATGGAATTGCTTTCCTTGCTAAGCATGAAGAATGCTATGAGGAAAAAAACCATTCAGACACTTATTGCAGTCCAAGTGAAAAGAAGAAGATATCAGAATCACTGAACAGTGCTTCTTAGCCAGAGTGCACAGTGGAATTGGATGCATCCTGAATTGAGGTGGGGTCCCTCAAAGGGATTTGGGATTTGTCCAAGACAAAGTGGGATCTGTACAAAGGCTTTAATGTCTCAAAGCTAGGTTGTCACCAACCTTTTTTGGGCCAGTGAAACACTTGGAATTTTGAGAAAGTGCCCTGGGCACAGAACAAATCACAAAATGGCTCCCATGGGCATGACACAAAATGGTTGCCATTGGATGTGGCATAAAACAATATAGCTGCCATGGAGGTATAAGCATAATACAAAATGATAGCATATATAAAAGAGCAGAAAAAGAGCAGCCACGGAAGAAGTATCCACATCAGCCATGAAGGGAGGGAGATTCTCAGCTCAATCAAATGTGAAATATTAGCATCCAATGAATTTTGAATCAAGCCAGGACAAATAGGAACTGATCAGCCACAGCAAAATATCATATTTTTGATAGGATGTTACTGTGACCTTTTCATGGGTGTCACATGAGGTTCTGGCAAGTCCATTCCACTTGTAACCAGAGGGAAATACTTTTACTTGGAAAGCAAATTCCTTTTAGTTCTTCCCACTTCAAAATCAACTTTAAAGTTGCCTGGCACAGACGGCCCTGTGGACCCACTTATTTACAGCTTGGATTATTCCTTACCTAGGGACACCTCTTTCGCACCTGCAATTCACAGATCAATTGCACACAAGTGGCATGAGGATGTTAAGTGATTCCTATTATACTCACCCTAAAATGCTAAAAGCTGACCCTGTGGGAAAACCACTGAAGCCATCCTTCTGAAATTTGGCAGGATTCATGCCATCAGAAAGAGTGACCTTGCCTGAAAATGTTGCCCAGTTCTGCCCAATTATTATTTTTTTAAGTTAAATGAATTTGGCACAAAAGCCCCCTGGACCTATTTGCCTGTAATTTGGCAAGCTTTAACTACCAGGGTGGTGAGTGGGATGCTGGCACACCTGCAGATGTCAACCACTTCTGAGTATAGCTGTTCTTTGCTTTTCCAGTAGTGAATAGGGGAGGAATGAAGTGGACTCACATGGACTCTGAGACAAATCAGACACCTAGCAAAGGAACCTTGGGGTTGATGCACACCACTCATTCTTACCATTGAACAATGCACACTGAAGAACAAGGCATGAACTAACATTTTACCTTATTCTAAATTCTGGTCACTTCCCAAATACTGTTGAATTCTCGCTACTGAAGTATGGCGGTATCTGAGTTGCCGAATTGCTTCAGCGTGCAATACCAAGTTCCTGTCTGAGCCTCCCGAAATCAATATTTAGATGTAAAGGAGTTTCTTAGCCTTCTTCAAATGATTTGATAACATAAATTTGTTCCTTGTGACTGCAGAACCCTTTTTTTATTTAAAAAAAGAAATCCCTCTTTGCATTTCAAACCTCTGTGCCTCTAGTATCTGTTTAAACTCTTTCCCCTTCTTTATTAACTCATCAAAGCTAAAATGCCATTAAAGAGAGACATCGTCTGTCCTTCATAAGACAAATGTTAAATACTCTTAGCTCTTCTCAGAATCATCCCTTTAAACAGCATAACTATGATCTCTAATATCTCTCAGCCAGATGTTTCCCAGTTGGAGAGTAAGGTTTTGATGCAGAGTTTCATGCTCTTAATCAATCTTTAAAGAAGCTTCTGGAGCTTCCAGGATGCTGTGAATTATATTTCTACTAATTCCAAGACTGCATTCTTCCCCTGACTTCATTATCTGCACACAAAGAGCATCATTTTCTAAATGCTCTGAATTCATTAGGCTTGCTTGTGTTTTGAGGAAGACTGCGATCACGGCTCTCAAAGCAGGCAACAAGTTTTGTTTTGTTTTTTTGTCTGCAGTTGGCATGAATAATTCCAATCAATGTTTTCCTTTTGCAAGACCAGAATTGTTCTCATGCTACATTTTCAAAGTTCATGACGAGATTCCTGCAAATCAAATTCATTTCTGAAGAGGTTAAAAACAAAGAAGATGAAGAACATTGTTTTTCTAAGGATAATTCCAGATGTGATTTCCTAGATGAGCTAAGGCTTCAAAATGAAACCTTTGCACTCAGTGAAATGACTTCCCCATTTGCTTGCATGAATGGTGAGACAGTTTGACATGGGCAAAGAAATTCAGGCAGGGATCATCCTACGCTTTGGAAGTGAATAGGGTGTCCTGAATGTAGAGGAGTTCTCTGCTCACATGGGATTCTGGATTGCAGCAACTAAAAGTTAACTCACTTCTAGAATCTTGTCCTAGAAAGCTCTTGACCTTGACACAAGTATTGTTGTCCTCACCTTTTAAAAGCTAATGTCTTTGCAATAGAAAAGTAATAAATCAGCCTTTAGAATTTGTTTTAGAAGCAAAGAAAAAAATCATCTGCTTTTGTGAACTAGGAATACTGAACTGAACTGTCTTGCCAAGATTACCTGAAAGCTAGACAAGCAGGAAATGCAACAGAGCAGGTGATCACACCAATTCATCTTTTCTACCTTCCCTGGGTCACAATCACTGTTTCTGCTAATGACTCTGAATACAAAAGTATCAGTAATCTACAATCTCCACCTCATTTTTTATTGGAATACTTCTCAACTCTATATTATACCTTTTTTTTTTTTTGTAAAAAATATAATAAGTCAAAAATAGTCAAAAAGTCAAAAATATAATAAATAAGTACAGAAACGTGAGTTTTGTCTTTTCAATAAAACACCATTAGTTTTCTATAACTAGTTGTTCAGCTCGTACATAACTAATCAATTGAGCAGATACTGGGGTGAACAGCTGCTTTGTGCTGCAGCCAAACAATAAGGCAAATCAGGGTGATTTGTGATCGAGTTTACCCACACCTGAGACAAACCATGATGTCAAGAACACATCCCGAGTTGGATCAGGGCCTCCTCAAAGCCTCATGCTGCTTTATCTCTTGGAAAGCTA